TTAATTAAATATTTAACAAGTTTTTTTCCGTTTTTAATTTAATTTTTGTATTTTATTGTTTTAAAAAGAATTAGGTATGTATGTATTTCTTTAATGTTATTTCATTTTTAGAAACTTATTTTAATAAGCTTTAATTCTTAATGTATTTTTTTAAATTTACGTATGTATTTAAAATTTCTTTATCTCATTTAATTTTTAGAACCTTAATTTTTTGTTATTCGTTTCTTTTATTAATTTAGTTTTTTTTTTCTGTTTTTAATTTAATTTTCTTATAATTTTTTGTTTATATTCTTTTAAAAAGAATATTTATCAACTTTATTTATTTCTTTTTAGTTTAATTCTTATAATTTTTAGATTTTATTGTTTTAAAAATAAGTAAATTTTTTAACATCATTTAATTTTTGGAATCATTTCTAATCCATCTTTGTTCTTTTATAAATCAATTTTTTTAATTTTCTTTTATTGTTTTTCAAATAAAAATATTGATATTTTTTAATTTAATGTAATTTTAAGAAAACTAATTGTTAATACGGTGCTTACATGAGACGATTTACATGCAATTTTTTTTGGCGATTAGTTGAATCCAAAGTTGGCTGCCCCAACTTCATTGGAAGCTATTAGTTGAAAGGCGATTGTTTTTTTCAGCTAAAAGTTGTCTGTAAAATCTTCTCATGTAAACATCCCTATACAGGACGAATAGAATAAGACCTCCTGGTTAGCAGATCTTTTAATTCGTTTTTCGAGAGTAGTAGTATTGTAGTCTGAAGAGATCTAAGGTTATAAAGACTTATCTACCATACATATTTTTCTAAGAGCACCCTTTGGATTGCAATAGAATGATAAAATTTTGCAGAGCCTAAATGATTTTCATATGATCTCGAGAAGTTACCATAATACTTGGGTAATGGGACGCTGATTCTGTCGCTCCACAAATACTCACAATTTTGTTCACTAAACTTCAGAATATACTTAAATAAGATATGGTCTGCTAGTCCCTCTACATGGGTCTTCTTATCCTGAAATGCATTCGTTCCTAATTTAAAACCTTCTATATTACAATGGTTACACCCCCTTCTCTTCACTCTGGACACCCGTAAGCTGTATCCAATTGAAGTTTCATCATTTATTATGGTCCTTCCGAAAGTATTACCCAGACAAGTTGTAGACTACACAAACACAAAAAACATAAATACAGTTGCAGACATAATTTAAGATACCGCAAAAAATATTGCTACAAAATACAAAATATGTACTCGTATACTCCTACTTTTCATTCCAAATTTCGCTCAATTTACTCTCCACATATTTGTTTTGGAGCGTTCATTCCACGCTTTCTTAATCTTCCAGCGCTGATCACCGAGCACAACTTGCAGAGCATCCATATAATCACACTCTCGAAAGGGTATCTCATGCACGACACGCCCAAAACTATCCGAAATGTAGAGTGTGTGTTCATCGTCGGGTTTGTCATTATAGGGTGGCGCTTCCTCGGAACTTGTTTGCTCAATCGCATTCGGGTTTCTTAGCTGTTGAGGTTGTGGCTGTTTTAAAATGTTCTCATAACGGTTTCTTGCTTTAGTATTCATTTGGTGTGACTGTTGTTGGTGGTTGTGCTGCCGTTGTTCGTACTGTTGTTGTTGCTGCTGCTGTCTTTGGAAATTGTCATACTTTCGCTGCAATTCCAGCTGCAATTGTTTTGGGCGTTTATGCAGGTGTTGTTGTTGTTGTTGTTCCTGCGTTCCTCGTTGGTCATGTCGTTCATCTGGGTCGTCATCGGCAGCAGTTGTCGAAGAATTCGATCGAAAGTTCGATCGCACACGCATGTATGAACGGAGTTGCGGCGGTTCCGAGTCGAGGAATTGTTCGAAGAAACGGCTACGCGTAGTGAAACTACCCCGGTTTGAGAAGTTCGAAGAAACGGATTTGTCAGGACGACTGCGCATAAACTCGATTTGTTCCCTGATGTTGGCGGTTTCAAGTAGTTTAATTCTCCTTTCGGTGCGATAAACTTTTGACATGCGAAACAACAGCAATGCCACGTACAAATTTAATACAATGATGGTTGTCCAGAATAATTGCGTTAAATTTTGAAGATTCAAGCTTATTGACATTATTTTTTATTTTACAATTTTTTTTTTTAACATAAATTACTTTATTTCTGGCATTCGCTGCTAATGTGAAAATCGAAGTCTACGTTGCCGGCTGGGGAAATCACTCATTAAAACAAATAATTCGAGTTTTAATTTGATGACAATTTGTCCAATTCGTTTCGGTGCTTTATTCGGGTAAACTTCAGTTAGGTGGAATAATGCCAGTGGGGGAAAATTAGGAAGGGAGTTTTGAAATTCGATAAATCTATGTAGAAAGAAAGTAGATTTTAGGGAAATCTTTGAAAGCTTCGCATGCGTCTGAGCTTTCACTAGCAAATTTTTAGGAGCTTTCATACATTTTTATGAAGTGATTCTGAGCAAATTTTTTCACAAGCTTCAGCATTTTTTTAAAGCGCTGTGTCCACACTTTCCGGAGTACATAGTTTTCGCGAACAACTTTTAAGAGCTTTCACAATATTACCTAAAAAACCTAAAGCTAAACATTGACGATCATTTTGTGGATTCACTGTGCTTCGGAAGAGGCGATGAAATTCCCGATAGTCTTTTTCTGACCTTCATAGGGCTGACTGGATCAAACGAACGAACTTTATTATTTAAGGGCTTATAGAAATTGCCAACTTCCCTGCTAGACACTCATTTTTCGTGCTGTTCAGCTGGCTACTACCGGGCAGAATTGGGTGCAGCTGCAAGAAGCGCTACACAAAGAGCACACAGCTTTGCAAGCCAACTTGCCACTGTGGGAAGAGCACAATGGACTGTATCAGCCTTTGGCCCAATGTGGTCTTTTTTTAGCAAGGAATTCATCATATAATCCCATCTCCCAAAAACTTTACAGAGCCTCGCTGTTCCTCGGTAGCATTACCAGCAGAAGCATAGAGGCTAAGCGTATCCTTACCGAAGGCAGGAAAATATTAACGGCTACCTTTGTCTTGCGGGTCGATTAGCCACAGGTGGAGGTGGATCTCCCATGCTGGACACTAAGTATATTGGGATCGAGTCTGGCTAGGTAGAAGTCGAGACGGTTACAATATCCACAACGTAATTTAGGAGTTGCGCGGTTCTCTCTCGGCAGTTGAAGCTCACTATCGTCCACATATGGTGATTGGACTCTTTCGACAGTATTCACAGGACGGGAATCTGTGTACTTGTGGTAACAGAGTTCCAGTGAATGCCGTTGATTGCCAGTCTAAAGAGTCCCGGGTACATTGGTTGTTGTACATAGCGTTGGACCCCGTCCTTCAGTTCGTAAAGATGGATTTTGGTGTGGTGTGTGTGGACGTTCCACATTAACCACTACGTCGGACATTAGGCCGCCTTCCTTGCACTGAAGTCCCACACAACAACATCAAAGCTAGTTTCTGTACTTCGACAATGATTCGATGATAAAGCTCACGGAGTTCAAAGGTAGGGCCGCCGCCTACAGGTATCGGCACGTAAAATTGTTGTTGCGAGCAAAAGAGCAGCAGCCGAAAGAGGCGGAGGTCACCGAGAATACGGAGCAGGCTAGGGAAGCTATTGCCTCGGCTGAACCTGAACTGGACGAGCGGCCATCTACCTGCAGAGACAAAGTGAAAGCTCCTGAACCGATTGCTCAAACGGAGACCTGTGGTGGTGAGTCACCTTCGGGACAAGGATCCCGACCTCTGCCAAGCAGCAGGCAAGCAACTGTGCTACCTGATGCATAAACAGTGACTGAATCCGTGGCCTCGAGTGTAACTCGATCGCCCAAGATGGATGCCGCCATTACCAGCATACCCGGACGACCAAAACCGACCGATGTTGCCAGGGAAAAGGGGTCCCGACGAGACAAAAAGGAGAGTGCGTGCTACAACTTAGAAGAGCCCAATTTAGCGTAGCAACAAATATTGAATAAGTTTTTCTAAAAAACCCTGGCCGAGTGCACTTCGGTTATGATAACTTTTCATCTTTAAAACAGCAAGGCCATCAAGGTGCCAAATATGTATGTATTTGGGTTCCCAAGTGTTTGCTTGGATTTCCAGAGACCATCTGCGATTAGCTTTTTATTGTGTGACGCCTTTGAACCATAGCGCGGCCCATCCCTTTCTTATCTCCTCAGTCACCAAAAACTACTTTTAAAATTAATTACCGACTTCTCTACCAAAGTTTACAAGTGCCGATGAACGCATCAAATGTCACATGTGTACACACATATATTTGTTCATTCTTTTCGAGACACAAAAAGTCGTCAAAATTATTTTCAAAACATATACAGAAAATATGTTAAAATATTCAAAATTTATCAACCGAAAATAACGCAACTACATTTACTAAGCTTAGCTGAGACTAACGTATCTACTACGTAACTACTTTTTAAAAAAATTTTCCTAGTACTATCGCCAACATCGAATCTCGCGAAAATCGCCCGAATTTACACATTCCATATGGCTCAAGCAAACCTTGAGCGCCTTTGTAGCGCTTTGTGTCAGACCGAAGATCCAGTGCCCGCTTATCCGCTCATCGCACGTACGCTAAAAAAGAATTCACTGCCGGCATACGATGCATTTGGTCCATTTCCCGACGAAACCATTGTATCTGGCATCGATCGTGCGCTGTATTTGATGGGCGCGCGACGTGTACAGGAGTTCCTGCACTTGCCAACGCCCTCCATGGACTCGAGTAATAGTGATATATCGCTAACAGTGTCGCAGGTATCTTGCCCCGAATCACATAGACCATGTCGTGTTTGCAATACCGTTATAACGACAGGTGGGTTATTGAAATGAGAAACTACATATAAGTATTGTTGCTAAAAACTCGTCGCTTCAATTTCTTCCGCCCGCAGACAGCAAAAACAAACGGCAATTGCCCAGCTGCTTGAAGATGACGAAAACTTGCAGCTGCGCCAAATGTCGCGCCAGCACTGTGAAAACAACGATCTTCTCTAAAAAGCCCTGCTGTTGCAGCAGTTCGTCGGCGTGTTCGACAAAAAGTAGCATGTCGCGTGTGCAAATATGTGAACCACCCAAATCTTCGAATCCATTAAGGCGCTCATTTTCATTGTGTTCGTTAGCTTGCCGGAAGCTGAAGCAAATGCTTACCTTCCCACCGAAAGACGGCTGCAAGCCAAAGTGGCATTGGGCGCGTCTGCATTCCACCTCAAATGGCTGTCAGATCTATGAAATATTTAAGAATACCAATGTGTGCACCCATCCGTCGGAGTTCGAGAAGAAGCGAACTCCACAAGTTATTTTTGTTGTGCTGCAAAATGGCGTTATAATGCCATTCGAAATTGTGCCGTCTCACTAAGAAAGAGAGAGTCTTTGTCTCTGAAGGAGAAAAAAACAGGAAGTGAAATGGTGGATGTTGTCCTTTCGCCGTCTATGTATACGTTTTGGTAATATATAACTTTTTTAAATGTGGAAACTTATTAATATAAATACACAATTATTGTGCTTTTAAGAAATTTTATTCCCCAATTTAAGCTTAATCCGTTATACAGCATCCTGGCGGAGTACTTTTTTAAAGCTTTCTTAACATCGTATGCGGACGCGTATAGAGTAAGAGCTCTCTCTGCTCGCCGCTGTCCTTAGCATCACTTTGGATAACCTTTTTGCTACACATTTTGTTCACAACCCAATATCATTTCCCTCCGCCTCCTACCGTCGCTAGCTTAATGCGATGGGATGAAACTAAGCTGGATCAATCAGTAGGGGCAGTAGGGAAGAGTCCTTTCGCGCAGAGCACAGAGCATAGGTAGACTGGAAAAGCTCGTTGTGATACAACTGGCCGAAGCCATTTGATTCTTTCTATCCCTCAGTAATTTAACCACCAAGTGCGTTTTACATAGGACAAAAAGTCGAAGACGTTCGCCGAGTTCAAGTCGGCTAAAGAATCTAGAAAGCACTTGTTGAACAATTGGTTGTGCGTGTTGGCCAGGGCGGGACAATGGCAAAGGCAGTGCTCGATGCTCTCCACCTCTTCCTCGTCTCTGCAATTGCGACAAAAATCGTTGGTGGGGTATCCTAACCTTTTTCTTGTGTGTACCCATTGGGCAGTGTCCGGTGATTACTCCGACTACTACTCTGAGAGAGGAGCGGTCCAGCCGAGTGAGAGCCATTTGCCTGGTAGTATGGCAAGTGGTTTCCACAGCCCTCATGGTATTTACCTCCTCAATTAGTTAATTATAACGATGGGCCGTCCTGGAGAGGCCGAGGTTATAAGCCACCGAGCCGCCTCCATTATGACGATTAGCTCTGTTTGAAAAACGCTACAATAGTCCAGTAAGCAAAAAGTGAGGTCAAGCGCGAGCATACGTGAAAAGAAGAAATCAAATGAGAAAGAAAAATAAAACAGTAGGTTGGATTAGATTAGGAAGATGTGTATGGAGAGTTCCATACTTTCATTCAGATACATAAATTGCACTCCGTAAATTAGTTCCTAGAGGAAGCACATTCCTATAACCTCAAGAGGAACGAAGGAATGATCAATACATTAACCGGTTGAACCACTTCTATCCTAAATGATATTGTGAAGATCTAAAAGGCCCATTGTTACGGCTGGGCTAGTGAAGAAGCATGTGCCAAGTTGTTTAGAGTCGTTTTGACTGCAGAGCCAGACATCGAGACAATAGGTAGTAAATTGATTATATGTCATTCTCATCTCGGTTGTAGCCGGTAAAAGCTCTTTCTGGTGATCTGTTGCGTTTTATAATGTCTTCCTTATTTTATGTGTTTAATCGCAGCCATAGTGCCGCTGAGTTTTCTCAAAACACCTCGTTTGGCCCCTAAGTTGTCTGTAACGGCTATGGTGCATTCATCAGTATTTCTTAAACGCGGTGGTTGGTTAAACGGTCGTTGAAAAGAGTTCTATGCCTCGTGTTTTATCATCCCAGAGCCATACCTGGCTATCCCATCAGCCGTCGCAGCAAGAATTGCTAATTATTCCTCGGTCCGCAACCAGTTACAGCATTCTCATCTTCGGTCAGGAATTAGGTGAATATTTTGCTCAGAAATGACTGGGAAACTTCGAGAGGTTGTTGG